CAAAACTAGCCTAGCATTTTTTAAATTCATGAAAGTAGAGTTAAAATACTTAAGGTTTGCGAATTCAAATGATGCGATCTTCAAGACAGATCTTGCGAGTTTATAATGCAAACATCATCATTTAAAATGTCTTGATTCTTCACAGAAAAAGTAGCCTGCGAAAACAGGCACCTATCATCGCTCGCGGCTGGAGGCACGTCCGCCGCGATCCCAGCTATCCTCTAGCAGACTGTTAAAAACAAATATAAAGAAATAAATATAATCAGAATCAACTAGCACGTACTGTTGTCCTTGAAGTCTTACCGTTGCATTAACATACTGAACAGTTGAACGTTTTATTCACTGATTAACAACAACAAAAAAAAACTCCAGAGGTGTTGGAAGGCGACGATCCCGGGGGCGAGCCACTTGCCCTTTTTCTTCGTCCCCACCCCGGGGCATTTAAACAGCTTATGTGTCCCCATCCTGGGGAATTTGCCCATTTATTTAAAAAAAAATGTTAATGCCCGGGCGTTAGCCCGGGGGAGGGGATGGGCACTGCTGGAATTGACTGACGCATAACAGACCGGACTCGATCGAGAGACCGCCGAAAATCGAGCCTAAAAATAGCAATAGGAGCGGGTTTTTTATTATTTCTTCGAGTGTACCCTAAACGTCACTTTGATAGCTAAAAATAGTGGCGTTTCGTCATGAAAACCGTAAGTGACCAGAATCCTTTTCATATGGTAATCCCCCCGGGAAGGGGTGGGGGAGAACGGTAGTCCCCTCAACTCCTAAGTCACGCTTTGAAAATGGTCAGCTGATCTGCCCAAGCCATCTGGTAATCTTTCAAACCTTTTATCAGGGGTAGCTCTATTTCCCTTTACTAAAGCCGAATGACGGCTCCGGCACTCCAGCTCCAGACCTTCTGTAGCCTGCATTGGAGGCGGATTAGCGGGCTCTGGCGCGAAGCGCGAGGCGAGAAATCGCTCGTTCTCGCGCTTTGCGCACGCCCTTGTGTATCGCGCTAGAGCCCGCTAATCCGCCTGTTCTGCAAGCTAGACCTTCTGTGGTTTCAACTGGAGAATGGAAAGTTGGCAAGCACACAAGCTATAACCGTACCGCTGCCAATTACAAAAATTACTGAGATTTGTAGACAGCAGGAGCGAAATTCCTGGCAAACTAATGAAAACAGTCAAAATCATTGGATATTATCCATTTTGAACATCTTTTCCCCCGGCCACTTTCAAAATCAAAGGATCCACCAGGCTATCTCGTGTAACGTATTATGGAAGTATATATCTTAGCACTATGATCATTTGTCATTTCTCTATTGCCTCCAATTGCTAAATAAACTAAATAAACGCATCTGAGTTGGCAAGCGTCTGCTCACTGGTACACCTTTCTTTGTAAAAATTGGTTGGTTGTCATAGACACTCAAAATAAAGTTGATGTACGTCTTCTTGGGTTGGGGTCCCATATTCATGAGTTTGCAACAGCTCTACTGATGACCTCGCGATTTCATGTTGCGTGACATCTCTATCACTCATTTCCAGGACCCAGAGCCTTTCCTACTCGCGGTCAAATCCCCTCTCCTCTCCCATTTCCTCACCTCCCACAAAGCCCATCTCAATGTCAGAGAAAAGAATTATAAGCACGGCGAGAAAACCGGCAACTGTTTTTTCGGTCTGATGAAAAGGTAGTCAGAACGTCTCCGGAAAAAAATCATAAGCGAGGAATAAAATTCATTGACAGACTTGCCAGTTAAACTTTTAATATCTTCTGCCAAATTTCACTCTTGTATTCATGTTACAAACTTCTTGCATTGCTTTGAGTATTTACATTACACTGTGATAATCTTTCAAAACTAATCCTACGACGAGCGAATGACGTTATCTTTACTAAGTAAATATACCTCAGTTTGTTTTACATTCTTAGTTATTAACAAGAAAAAAACTAAATCAAGATGGCGGAAACTTTCCTTTGCCCAGTTTAGCATGAACAAAATCCAACTACTGTAGTTTTTTCTCTTTGTAACTCTGAATAGACATAAATTTATCTCACTTCGCACTTGTTATGTATATTTAAAAAAAAAACGTTCAGCTGTACAAATAATAAGCACGCAATATAATCCAGTCTATCTCGCCAAAAAAGATAGCTTTATATCTACACTTGTCGCTTAAATACGGCTATAAATGTTCGCATCGCGCTTTGGGTAAATGAGAAACAAACGATACAAAAAAAACCCCTGCCACTACGATTAGAGGTATAGCTTCAAAATCAACGTTTTTCTCACCTAAATTTTAAACTAGAACTCCATTTATCTAAAATAAATTCATTGGGCCTATCCAAATCGGTTAAAGCCAAAAAGTTTATTTTTAAAATTTATCATTAATATCATCGTTACATTGTTCACAAAAATATGCAACTGCATTTCCTTCACAACTTTGGCGTGAGCCAACCGTGACGTGAAATCAACACGGCATGACACAAAGCGTGACATCAGCATAGCGTGATTGAACAATCAGCTGAAAGGGCAGTGGCTGTTATCTTTGCTTTCTCAGTGGGGGTACCAGGGGCTTGCTTATGCCATCTCCGGGTGGTGGGGGTACTCCAGCATAGCGCTCCCCAGGGGGAAGTGGAGCAGGTGGTAAATCTTCGTCGTCCGAAGTCGCTGACAGGGTGGTATCAAGATCGCCAGGAATGTTCTCTATATTTAATCCCCCTGGGCCGTCGGATAAGGGGGAAGGAATCAAATCTAACTCGTAATCCAACGGACCGGACAGGGGTAAGGTCGGAGGTGGTTCACTGGGAGGGGGAGGGGGAACAATCGCAATATCATAGTCCACATTCCCACTGCTTTTCCAATACCCCTTTTTAAACCCCGATTTCGAATTCCTGGAATTAAGCGAGACGTTGTTAAGGTTAGTGTCCTCTGGTCCTTCTTGCCAGCCGGAAGGTGGATTTACAGTCGAGATATCAAATGCCGAGCTTACAGTTTGTTGGTCGTTATTATTGCCGAGTTCTTTAAAGTGAACAGGAGGCGGCGGAACAATTTTAAGATCCAGGGAATCTACACTTGTTCTTGAAGATGAACGTCCAGTTTTGCCATCCATCCACTCCATCGGAGGCGGAGCAATAATTCCAAAAGAATCCATACCGTTCTGGGATCCAGCTCTTTCACGGTCCGGCGAAACAGAACCGGAATTTACCCCGTTAGCCCTGGGGACGAGAGATGATAGCTTTGGCGGCGGCGGAGGCTGAAAGCTTGGCGGTCCGGCTTCTTCTACGGCATGACTCGGTCTCGAACCGAATTGAGGTTTAAGCAGTACATTAGGTTTGGAAGACAATGCAGTATCAAAGTCTCTAGTGGGAATTTCATTCTTGTCAAAGTGTTCCAAGACACCATTGACTGGACTGTAGGCATTCAAACGGTTCTCTTCATCCGGGCTTTTTGCTGCCTGAGTCACTTTCCCCTTTGTAGGATCTGCTATGGACGATACTCTTGGGGGTGGGGGTGGTTTTAACTTTGGAGACCTTTCTAAGTTAGGGGATGAAGATGTCGAAGAAGGTGCGGAGTCTGATACAATTCTAGCTGAGGAAAGTCTTGGCGACCCAGGCATCACAACAGGAACTCGTGGTGAGGTCGGAGAGACAGGAGATTTCAGTTTACCCTCGTCCGATGGGACAACGTCATTTGGAAGATCCTCTTGAAAACGTTTCGGCCGATATGGGGCAGGTATGGCGGGTGGTGTTTTGACGGGCTTTGGATGAGACAGAATTTTCGGTTTGGAATCATCTTCCACCGCGTTCTTCAGTTGGTAAGGAAGAGGTTTAGGAGGCGGAACACGCTTTGCATCTCCTCCAGTTTTAGTAGGCAAGTTGCGAAGAATATCAGTGGTGTAGTACGCTTCTACCTCCGGTATTGCGGCAGTATCTTCCACCTCAGAGTACGGACTTTCATTTGAAACAAGCGACCTGCGGACAGATTCCACCACTTCTGCGTAATCTGAGTCTACTGTCACAGTGGAAGGACGGGATGGAGACGAGCTTGCCAGACTAACATCACGAGCAGGGGGTTCTGGACGTCTATCCCTGAACGCGCTGGGCGGGGCCGGGGGCATGTCGTGTCTGCCTTCAAAGCGACGCTGATGAAGAGGAGGTGTAGGGGGGACAGGAGAAGTCTCCTTTTGGCAAGGTGTCACAACTTCGTAAGGATTCTCGTCAATATCTGAAGTGCTGTTGACCGGGCTGGTGCTGGTCTTCAACGAATTGAAACGATTTTGTTTCGGGGACATTTGAGGCAAACTGCCGCTTACCGGCGGGGTTGGAGGCAAGGGCTTGGGACTCAGCGATAAAGATGATACGTCTTCCTCTGTATACCCGCGATCAGGAATTGCTGGAGACACCTCAACGATGTCTTCATCCTTCGTTTTCTCGGTTACACTGGGAGCTTTGTTCTCACTGGTGGGAAAAGGTCTAGGCTTCTTTTGAGATATGTCTGGTTTGGAATAAGAAGGCATCTGCTGCTTTCCTCCTTCAAACAAAGACATCATACCTCTCACACCACCATTTGGGGATGTACTGGGTATTGTTTTGTCTTCTGCTGCATCGCTCTTCAATTCAAGTTTCGGAAGTTCTACTTTTCTAGTATTTCCGTCTGTTCTGATTTCCTGGTAGTCACTGACACGCTCCGAAGGCGCCACGTTACTGGGAGACTTGACATTGGTGGATGTTGTGGTCACAGTGTATTTAGGGGCACTGAACTCTTTACTTGGCGATTTCGGTTTCGTCTTCGGCGGCGCTGGTTTAGGTTTAGTAGGCACCTGTGGCTTCGCGCGCTCTATGACAATCTTTGAAGCTTCTTGCCTTGGAACTTCTAGCTTTGGCGGCGCTTCTAGCTTTGGCGGCGGTTCTTGCTTTGGCGGCGACGATGAACCAACTTCCACGACAGTCCAATTCGTAGTCGGTTGTGGTTCCACAGACTTCGCCCCTGTGTCATTTGACAGTTTACGAGGAGAGGACAACGGAGAAAACACGTCTTCACTGCTGCTCTGACTCTGAAGGCGTTTCTTAAGTTGGAATTCTTCTAAACTCCTCTTCAGCTCATCTTTTGGTTCAAAATCAGGATCGCTCATACTGCGCTCTTTCTTCAGCTGTTTTGCGCGTTCCTAGGGGAAGCAAAACAGTGCATTAGAAAAGCACCAAATTTTAGTATGTTTAGCAGTGCCTAGATCAAAAGAAAAGCCTGCAGTAACGGTTTGGTTCCCTTCTGGGAACAGTTTGTAATTAGATAGCGGAGGGAGGAGTGAAAAGTAGGGAGAGAGTGGTTATCAAGATGACACTTTTGTCGCCTTCCAACCAATGGGAATTTTCTGTTTCTAAAGACACGGGGAATTCCCTCCGAAGATGTCCACAGCCCCTCTATTATTCTCGGTCTCTAAACCCCCCCCCTACCCTGAGAAGTCTCCCGTTCTGCGCTGGCGTCCAGATCTCTGGCGATTCTATTCGCGCGTTGAATGATGGACTGATAAAATGTAAGAACATAGAAGGCTATGGACAGTCTACTACTAGGTACATGTATGCGCAATTCGTACAAACCTCTCTTTGTTTCTCTCTTTTGGCTTGCTCCTCCTTCAACTTCAACTTGGATAAGTTTTCTGCATGCGCCCTCTAAGGGATTCAAAGAGATGTCGAGCAATCGACATAAAAAAATATCCATAGTAACATACAGTACATTGATCCATAAAAAAGGTTTACAGGAGCTACGTCAAGGTTTGTGCATCTTGAAAAGTTTAGCCTAAATTTTTCAAGTTCGTCGTTTGTAATCCGTGTTAATCTTCTCCATCCTTAACCATCCTTGTTCCTTTATGGTTTATTATTATCTCTTTGGTGTTTTTCTATCTTAGTAAACTCAGTACTATTTCCGCGTTTCCTTCAAATTAAAGGTAATTTTGTACATGGCCAAAATAAGTGAAAAAAAAAAAGCCGTGAAGACCGGAGCTCCTATTAATTGTGAAAAACTTCATATGAATAACGGTAAATCAAAAGCCTAAGACGCGAGCGGAATAATCGCGTTATAATCTATCAAAATTCCCGCAAAAACTACAATTGCAAGAAAGTGAAATAAGCTGAAGTGATTTTATAAAAGAACGCAGTGGTGGGGCTTTAAAACTGAAACGTTCCAGTTTCAAGAGAGCGATTTTCAAACCCAATGGAAGTGAAATTTCTTGCTACTAGTAAAACACAACAAGGTCTGCTGTGGTCTGCTATGACAAAGCGCTTGCTCCAAAGTCAGGTTTTCCCCTGAAACGCAACGTGACGTGACAAAGGGTTTACGCAGAGAGCCATCTGCATGACAACAACAATATATAGCTACTCACCTCAAAATGCATAAGAAACGCGGCGAAAATACCAAAGAAATCTTCTGTGGTGGCTGAGGACGGTTTTTCTCCAAAGAATTTCACAGTTTCTCGGAACTCGCCGGTGGATTTTTCTTGCAAGCTGAGTAGATCATTCAGTTCACCTTCAGTTTCGTCAATAATGCTCTAGAAGGTTTAACAAAACCGTTTTAGCTGTGTGGTGTCAAAAGCTTTCTTTTGCTAATGCACAAGGAGTTCGTTTTTACATTTCATTTTAGCCTGAACGCAAATAATGATCCAAGTGAGAATGACTTGAGTAGACTGGAGAAAGAACAGCTTCCCACACACGTTCTTAATCAGCAAAAACAACCTTCACTCTTACAGCAAAGGTGTGCTGAAAAAACCTTTTGACAATGAGAAACCAAAACATGGCTGGTGGTAACCGCGAAAAAATAACTAACACGTGTCTGCGCGCGCAAGCAACGTCGAAATCACGTGAAAACCACGTGCAATGTAAACAAGTAGCCCGTTCCAAGCTGAATGAAACATGCGCGGAGCAAATCAAGATCACTCCTGATTGGATGAACAATCATGTACCTGTACTCTGATTGGTCAAATTTTAATTAGATAAATATTACTGGTAACGCAGAGTTTACCTTAACCGCCAGGGAAAAGCGATCATTTGGATCTTGGGACTTAAGTGATCGGAACGCTCCGAGGTCGGATTTCAACTCCTGTAGAAACAACAATAAAAGAAAAAGAAAATTCTAAGTTTAGGGATATAGTCTTAACAATAGTCTTAACAATGGGTAATAACAATGGGTAATAACAAATTTCGACACTCAACTGAAAAGCGCTCAAGTGTCAAATTATAAAACGAAATAACAAGCATTTGAAGACCATGGCAGGGAGTTGAAAGTAGCAAGTTTGATGGGTAGTCTTGCGAATAAAGTCGTAGTCGTCGATGGTCTTTGTTGGTAAATCGTTAGTTTGCTGTCTAGTTGCTTTTTGTTAGCTTTTCACCGTTTGTGATTGTTGTGAGGTAGCCACGGAAAGACAGGTACTAGAGAAATGCCCGTTTCGCCATTTCCTTTTACCTGAATAAAATTTCCAGTGCTTGTTTAACCAGAACAAAAGACAATGGAATAACTATTCAACATACCTTCATTCCAGCCGCCAACTCTTCCACTTCACATGCGACCATTTGCCCTGAAACTAAACGAAAAAAAAAACCAGCAAAAATCAATTCAGTTGCATTCGCGATACCACTGAAGGCATGTCGCGGTCAATGTTTCTCATTTGCATTGTTATCTACATGCATGTAAGGCAATCTTGGGCAATTTTGAAGTTTCTGCCCAAAATTTCCTTGCATCTAGACTGCGAGCAGTCTCTCTTTTGCTCGAAAGAACGCAAACCAAGAAAGTGTACGAGCGTGACTGCGAGAGTGAAGCCGCGAGCCGCGAGTGGCGCGGGTATCGGAAGACGAGCGAAAAGAGACCCTGCAATGGTTTCATGCATCATTTCTGATGCTACTTTGAAAGATCGCATCGATAACAATCTGACACCTCTGCCCGTTTTGAATATGACATTCCGGTGTCAAATTATATTTCGCAGGAAACGATCGAAACTCCGACGCCCGTGCTACTTACGGCTCAAGGCTTCGCATGTCACGCTCGCACGCTCACGTTGTCACGTTTGCAGTCTACCTTGCATCCACGTTGGATAATATTGTAAATATTAGGTCTCGTCCACACTACACCGGAGGAATTTAAAAACGCAACAATCACCAGTCATTCTGGATTTGTGTTAGAGGAAAACTAGGTGAGGGAAATCACATAACTAACGTGGTGCCATCGTTTTCGAAAATCTCCGATTTCAACTTGTTTTCCGTTCACAAGAAAACGAAAAGTCGGCGTTTTCAAATTACTCCGGTTTGAAGAGCGTTTTAGGAAAGCTTTCGTGTCAACGGTAGGCCTAACCGTGGAAATAAAGCTGCGTTTTCAAATTTCTCCGACGTAGTGTAGACGCTGCCTTAAACGTTTGGACGCATTTTTGTTGGTTCTCCAAGACGTACTGAACACCTCACACAATCAAAAGGCTCACAATCAACTTCACGTGGAATACAACAGGAGCAGTTCAATTGGTTAAGAAATGCTGAATGTTGCAAACCACACACGTCTCACAAGCGATCGTTTTTTTTTTTGTTTTTTTTTTTTACTAAAAATAGAGACAAAGTTAAAACTTACCTTTCGCAGCCGTTGGGACCGAGGAAATTTCTTCCTTAATGTTCAAAACTTCGGGACATTTTGATTCAATTGATTGCACCAAAAAGTGCAACAGCGTGGACTTGTTGTCTGACGTCTTAGTGTTGGTGAGCTGAAAAAGGTTAAAAAAGAAAGAAAAAAGTACGAACGATTAAAACACAAATGAATGAACACAAAAGGGGAACGAAAATATTGAAAACAAAACGAAAAAAAATTAGGCTAACCGCGTTAACCGGCGTCAGCTACAAAAGAATTGCGCAAATTTCGGATAAAAGTGTTTCAGAAAAATCGCTGAAGAGGACAACGTATTGTTTTGTTACAACACCTATAAGTATTCACATTAATAACAACATTGAAAATAGATATGACAATGAATTAGCGACAACCTCACCTTATTTAAATATTCAATCTTGAAGCCAACCGCTGATCCTATTCTCATGTTGCCTTTATTCATGTAATTACCCATCGCCAAAACCAACTGAAAACATCAGACAGACATAACATGTTAGAAACATTACAATTTCATTGTACTCAGCAGAGACCAGGAAGTTGTTTCAAATGGGGATGACGCTATCCAAAGGATAAATCACTATCCAGTGGTAAACGCTGGCAAAATGAACTAGCCTATCAACTGGACGCTGGTTTATCCGGTGTACAGCGTTATCTACACTTTGAACAACCGAGAACTGTTGAGAGGCCAGCGGTAAGAGGATAGAGGAGGAGAAGAAGGGCGAAGTATGCAAAAGTCTTATCCAAGCACTTGTATTTTTCTTCAAGGAAACAAATCGACTCGTACAACGGCATTGCTAATAGAAACCACGCTTAAAAGTAAACTTCAAGGCCTTGACGGTAAATGTGAAAAGGAGTATCCGAAAAAGGCTTGACAGTGGGCATTGGCCTCCACCATCGCAGGCTATCCCGGTTTCTGCATCATGAGGCGATTTAGAAATCGTTTGTCTGCAGCCACTTAGATCTGGATAGAGAGAGGCACTTTGACGGTTAAGTGCCTTGTCCACGAATGACACAACATCAGTTGATAACTGCCGGCACTGGAACCCAGTCCATGCCTTTTGAGTTTAGGGAAGACGAGGCAGAACGGCGAATTAAAGTCAGTCTTCCCTATCAGTGCAGTAATTATTTGGCTCCTTTCAAACCACACTGGTAAAAGCAGGTCATCTTCATACCTCTAAGATCTTCTGCAGTTTTGGACTCCTCCTCAATTCTTCTGAAGCATCAAGAACCGATTCTAGGTCCTGCAAAAAGGTTGTTGCAAAAACCAAGGTGTTAGACTGCGAGCAGTCTCTATTTTGCTCGAAACTCCGTGGGGAAGAACGCAACGCACGCTCACGATCGCTCACTTGTGTTGCGTTCTTCTCTGCGAATTACGAACTACGTTTGCAGTGACAAATATTGTACCATTAGCACCAAAGTCTCAGATCAATTCTTGACAACTATGTGGGTTTTCCAGAATTCTCCGCCAATCGAAAAGCACACAAACGCACGCCCAACGATTGTGACTTGTTTGACGCTTGCGGTTCGCGGACAATTGACTTGATTTCCGATCGGTCAACCCCAAGCAACGGGAAACCAAAAAAGATGGTCTATTTCTTACCGGCTTGATCTCTTCCACTTTGTCTGCAAAGCGAGCCTTGAAGAGTAGGGCTTTTAACCGCTGCTTGTACCAAGACACCTTGCTCATCTGCAACAGTAAGAATTGAAAAAGGTCAACATTACCTTCACTGTCTAAGATTTTTGGCTTAAAAGATCGCACTGAAGAATTACACACACGCTGTAAGCACCGTGAAAATATAGAGTTGTTGTTTCCACAACGCGTACAAGGAGTACAAGATTAGCAACGGCAGAGGACTATGCGCGTTAAAAGGGCGTGAGGAATTTCGTCTAAGCTCTACCATTTGCATTTAGTACTTTTGTTCACAATTGTCACGAAACAAGTTCCCGCGAAACGTAGTTAATGCTGGCACAAAATGGAATAATTATCTTTGAGTAACTCAACATTGCGAACAATTTTATTTCTCAAGTGGTAAAATAAAGATTCTAGGGTATGAGTCTTGAAACGTCAACAAAAAAGTCAAAAAAAAAACGTCAAAAACGCCAAAACGTCAACAAAAACGTGAAAAACTCTCTCGACATGCGGTGTAATGTGTTGCAACTTTGTACACGTACATTAAGTAGACTTATGATAACCACAAACATTAAAACATACGCACTTCGTAACAGAACCTGTCCGCTTTATCCAGCTTAGTAACATCGTCGGCAAAGTATTTGAACTTTTGAAGCTGAAACAACAAAGATGAAAACCACACTTGTTACATCAATCATTTATGGCAAGGAATACAGTTTAGTTTGTAACACTGGGAGTAATAGTTTGTTCTTAGAAAGGCAGCGGATTTATGTGCAGTATCTCACATACATGTTAGGGGAATATGGACGATATTGTTGGCAGGGAGGTTATTTCAACACGGTTAAAACCTCGGGCAAATACAAATTACGATATATTTATTTAAGTTAGTAAAATGAAATAAAAAATGGCCCGACCCTACACAGGGCAAAGGAACAGTTTGCTTGCGTTTCAAGTCTTTGACTGAATTTCTACTGAGATTTCACTTTGATCGACGAACTCAGTAAAGCAAAGCAAATCTCCATTAACACTGAAACCATCAAACGGACCGTACACAAGTAATTTAAATACATATCTTAAATAAATATCTTAATTGACAACTCCCCCAATGAAGCTTTTCAGGGCCAAAGAAAACCAAATGGTGAAACAAATAATGCAAATGAACATAATAACATGGTTAAAAGTCCCAACTAGGCAGACCAGTTGGCTATTTACAAGGGTGGCCGACGAGCTGAATTAGGGTCTACTGAGAAACAACTCCAGCTTAGTGGTCAGAGCGGGACTTGCACCCGCGATCAAGTCCTCCCTAACCACTCGGCCACGCTGCCTCCTTTCTTCAACCTGAACTGCTGTATTTTTTATTTACAGTTCTGTCGGTTGTTTTTCAGTTTTCCTTACCTCTTCTTTATCCGGAGCATAAAGGAGAAGCTGTTTCAAATGAGACTCAGTAAACCTGTTCTCGTCCATCGCTAGCAGCGCTTGTTTGATCTCCTCGAATGGAATTTTCAAGTGACCCAGTAAAATTGCTGTTGGTTTAGAATGAACAGAAACTTGTGAGCAAAGACAACAAGAGATTGAAGACAACTATCATAAAAAAACAACATTGAGCAACAAAAGCAACAACAACAACAAAAACAAAAACAACAGAGACATGAAAGATAGCAGGCATTCCTTTTTACTTACCTATGTTGTAAGATTTCTTGGGATTCATCACGGCTGGTTTAGCAGGCTTCTTTTCTTCTTTGCCTTAAGAAAAAATGTTCAATTTGAAGCAAGGTTTAATTTGCTTATTTGATAATTTAAAAGTTGATAGACAGTACTATTAAATGAAATATCGAGGAGACTGCACTCTTACTTGAAGCCTTCTGTATCGCACTGAAACTTTGCTCAAGTTGAATAAACTCAATAACTTCTTCTGATGGTTCGTTTTGCCGCAACTGAAAACAGAAAATTAAATAAATTTACTCAAGACAAGCACGGAGGGACTGGAATGTTACAGTATGAATGAGACAATTCACTTCAGGGTAATATACTTGAACCGAAAAGGACATGTAACAGCAAACTCCGGCTGGGACACAACGAAGCCAGGTTGTTCAACTGTGCAGCAATTTTTTCATGTTCTTTATTCACTATCCTTGTCAATCTTTCTCACAATTAACATCCTCGCTGCTTCTTGGTTCAGTACTACCTCTTTCGTGTTTTTTTTGTCTTGTTAGACTTGAACTTTAGAGATTCTCTTATACGGACGTAAATTTGGTCAGCGCAGATAATAGACAGACAGACAACCTTTATTTAAGCACGACTAAAATTAAAACTCAGTGGCTGATTAAATTAAACTTCGTACAAAGTATATACATGGTAGGTGCAGTTCATCTAAAATTCTAATATCATAAGGACGCTGGTTTTACAAACTGAGAGTGGATTAATCAACCAATTTTGCTATGAAGCTATGTAAACATCTCTAAACTCTTTAATAAATCTTACTGTAACGTTCCCTAGATATAATTAAAATCTGAAGGTCTAAAATTGGCCGTTGTAATGGAGGTCTCCTTGAAGGTCAACTCTTTGAAAAGATCAATAATGCAACTCATCTCCTAGATCGTCTTCTTCTCCTAACAGACTCCTTGAATGCAACACTTCAATCTCTTACAAAATGCGAGACAACGTAAACGGAACATTGTTATCACAGTTTATGTGTGAAGAGGCCATACCTGTCCCCACACAGTATCTTCCAGCCCAGCAATACTCAGTTTTTCCCAGTTTACTCTCTTCAGTTGCATCTGTCCGCCTAGGTTTCCAGGACCACCCATAGGAGGCGGAGCTGCCGGTGGGGGAGGGGGTGGTGGAGGCGGAGGCGGGGGAGGGGGTGCTCCCACGGGGGGAGGTGGCGGTGGAGGGGCGACAGTTGTGCTTGCTTCATTCTCTGGGGAAAGAAGAAAAATCAGAATAAGTTCTGTTTGACAAGATACTCCACTACTTGACATAGTAGTCTGCATTAAACATCTACACGTACCTCCGGTCTCCTTCTCTTCATCTTTATCCTTTCGGCGTGCTTTTACTGCAGCGTCTAACGGATTCTCGGCCCCGTTTGGAGAGCTAGGTTCACTACCACGGTCTTGAAAGAAAAAAAAAAAGATTGTTGTTTACTGTGGTTAACTGGTGTTGAATTTTTGCGCGCAAGAGAAGCCAATCAGAAAAACTGATCAAATACTTGAAGACATGTCAGTGAGTACGGACTTTCTAGGGCTACAGGAACCTCTCTTGCAATGAAATAATTTCGCGAGAAAGATGTGTTTGCACAAGCCAAATGATAAAATGAAAACCAAACCTTGATTACCGGTCGCCAGAAATATAAGCATTGGTAGTATTATCAATGTACACTCTACCTCCAGTCTCTTTCATTTCTGATATCATTTTCTCGCTCTTATCCAAAGCCTGTTTGGTCTCCATCAACTCCTGTGTAGTGATCGCCAGCTGATGCTGAATCTTCTCCACAGAGACTTCAGACCCTTCAACGGAACCATCTCCAATGCCGCTATCTCCACTCACTGAGCGAGGAGTTGAAGTGACCATTCCTGTACCAGAGGACGCCTGTGTCCCAGATGAGGATGCTGTTACAGGGCTGTGGTGGACCTGTGCTTGAGTCTGAATTCTTGTTACACTAGACTTCCTGATTTCATCCGCCAATAATGCATCCGCTAGCTCTTCTGTTGAATGACCGTAATAACACAGCTTGAATAACATGAAAATCATGACAGGTAATAATTCCCTCTATTTTCTAGATCCATTGAGACTGTCCCAGACAGAGTTGGAACAACAGTATTATAATTCCTGGAAATTCACTGTTGGACTTACTCGTATGTTCTTAAATGAAAATAAAAATAGATTTCATCATTTTATCTTCTTTTTGCCAGACTGAATAGCCGAGTTTAATTTCACTGTGCTTTCAATGCGAAAATAGAAAACGACACCTCACTTTCCACCTTACTAAGTCTCCTTTGCAGGAATTAATTCCCGCTCCCTGCACTTCTCAATGATCCAACAGTGGCCGCAAAGAATGTCACACCCTGGCAGTTACCCTACAAAGACACCACCCACTCTAGAGTGCACCCCCCACCCCATGTCTAATGGCATGTCATTGCTAGCTGGACCATTGCAAATAGTTGCAAATAGTTACAAATATTTGCATAATGCGCTCTTGTCAAGAACAACCAGGATCTTTCACACTCAGTCTTACCAAGCCCTGCAAGATCAAGATCGTCCTCATCATCATCCCACCCAGAATCAGGGGTACCATTCCTGGATCTAGTGTCACGCACAGGAACTGTATCCAGGTCTGAACCTACAGAAAAATTACAACCAAGTTACTTCAGGAAGTAATTCCACATCTTATTTGCAGTTTCTGGTTTTTATCACTTCTCTTTCAACACATTACAACAATGCTTACAACTTAATGCAAGAATCCAACATGAGAACGAGACAGTGACGGTAATAAAAGACAAATTGAGGAATATATGTGCCACATACCATAACCAAACCCGGGGCTCAGGCGACCCCTGACAGCTCCTGATGAAGGCCAGTTACCATATGGCTCGTCAGGTAATACTAGTAATAATAAAGAAAGCCAAGGGATCAGAGCATCCACAGACGTGATGTCTACAGTTATCAATAAAGCACCAAACAATCAAATAGAAAAACAAAATATAATCAATGCAATAATAATCCTAGGTTACATGTAGTTTAATGCTGTGATGAAAATCAGAAAATCTCCTTATTCCTCTCTCATCCAATTTCAACAATCTTTACAACGCTAACTAGACTGGTATTGGGAGCAAAGAAAATCAAAGGCTGGGGAATGTGTGCCTCAATGTCCTTTGCGGACAAACTTCTAAACCTGCATTGACGGGCTTGTCAAGGCTTATCCATTTCAAGCATGTCAAGTCAAGAAGAAACTCAGATGGGTGCAACATTGGCATCCCTTTCCATTTTCCTCTTGGCTCAAGCAAGGAATCACAAGCCTGGCCTCAGGTTGTTTGTCCTGAGCAATATCATGCCATTGCACCAATTAATGAAAACTACAGTTAGCTGAAATGCGTAATGTACAGAGTTTGAACTAACCTCCTCCCGGTGTGGTATTACGAGGTCTTGGTGCATCAGCAAGCCGCATGCCTTGCACTCGGTACAGTACATCAACAACTTCATCATCATTCGTTTCCAGACTAGGGACAACACCAGCTAGAACAACAAACAAACAAACAAACAACACGTCTTGAGTCATGTCACTAGGTTGTGTTTCATTTGGGGACGTATTCATGTTAAGATCATATAGTGTATTAGCTAAACTACACATGACATTGCTGGGACTACCCCTTGTGTTGGTGAGAGGCCAAGAAACCCATGCCCAATAGAGTGCGGTGAAGTGTCACAGAGGAGGCCCTATGCTCCCTCACAGACTGAAGATGGCAAGGAAAACATTGAATTAGCTAGACACGAGTTAAAAATTGAAAAGAATCTTTGTTACTCACTGTCCATTTTCCTAGAGATCATTCTTGCAGCTGCTCTGTCAAATGCTTGCTGTTCTGCTTCAGGTAGAAGCTCGCTCAAGTAGTGTAACATCTGCAGCTTGGCTCCATCATCCAGAACAGGATCCAATGCTCTGATGAGTCTTTGTACATTTCTATCTTTGCTGTATTGATTAAGGCTTTGTTTGACAACAAGTTGTTCACCGCGTGTGAGAAGTTGACTCATCTGTTAATGAAATAAACATCAAAACTAAAATTTGTAGTTAAGTTTTGAACACAGACTGAAATGCAATCTGCAAATACACCTTCATGTACATCTGATGACTGATTTCTGTTTAGAGTTTTCCCTGAACACACAAGGTGGTTATCATTAAACAGGACCCTGGTACTTACAGAGTAAGTACAATTGTTCATGCAAGAGTTTTTATCATACTGTTATGGATTGAGAAGGCTTTGACATAACAATTTAACACACTAACTTGTTTCTCTTATGACTGCATTACAGATTATTTTATTCAATATGACTTGCATCTCAAAGGTATTTTAAAGGTCCACATTAATCTGAACATGGACAGTATTTCACACCTGGATTTTAAACTGCCTGGAAAGCGATCGAAGGTCATTCCTGTTGTACCCTGCTCCATTCATGAACAGATCACTTCTGAATGACAAAGCTTTGGATGCCATAGATGAACACCTTGACACAGTTGCAGGTCGTTCATTTTCAAATGTGACAGACAGCTGAGAAGACTTGCTGGATGACAGAAGTGATGACATTGACGACTGGGGTTTCAATGCACTGGTGGGATGCCACTGAACCAATAGGGTTGGCTGTGAGCCACTTCCCTTCAAAAGCTGTACAACATGAAGGTGGGGCTTTCCCCTGGAGAGAAAATAGACAAAACATTCAAATATAATAGGGGCATTGTGCACAGTAGCTTCAATTATAAAGGCCTCCTCAGTGATCTTAATTCCTCTGCCTCCTTGATGGAGCCAAGACATGGTTGGCACTGTCACATTTTGAAAAATTCAGCCTAAATATTTCAAGTTTGTTCTTTTAAATCTGTTTTAACCTTGCAGTTTCTTTTTGCTTTGGTATTCAGAACTGTCTGTTTCTTGCAGAATAGGAAACCCCAAAAACAAAAGTGGCAGATTCAGTTGTTACCAAACATTTCTTCAGTTGACAACACACGCAGTGCACTAAGAAGTTAACTGGCACATCAAGGCAATATTACAATATAGTTGACAATTGGCTTTGTTCTTGCAGGTTCTTGCACCTTTCTGTATTCTCAAAACACAAAGTCAACTTGATGAAGTTTGTCTCACCTTACATTTAATCCATTTATTTCTAGTATATGATCACCAGCCTTGATCCCAGCATTGGACGCTGCTCCTCCTAAGTTCAAGAGACGCAAACTCCACTCAGTTCCAATCAACTAATTAATAGCCCTCATAACTTGTATTACACCATACAGTAGTTCAAAAAAACCTTTATGCTAAGTATCTCTGTAACTTGACTTGACTGCATTTCGGGAACAACTACATACACTTTCTCATGCGATAAAATTGAATGAGCTGTGGGTTTTTGTACCCAGCATACTATTAATTACTAGTTTTTTGATACAGATAATAAAGATGGAGCTTGCCTCTGTCAACAGTTTTGATGAACACCGGTGAACTCCCACTGAGTGTAAAACCAAACCCAGCACCAGGTCCTTCTCGTCTGACTTGTACAGTCCTGTAACAAGAGGTTCATTGCAGAATACCAAGTATTAGTCATTTAGTAGTGGTTTAGAAAAAGGTCAAAATATGTAAGTTGCGTATAGTGTTCATCAAATACCCAATTTTAATATTTATACTAAACACCTAAATTCAGTTGTCATTCTGAACCTGCTAATATAACTAGCGCTTCTAACGTTTCATGTAGCACATTAGGTTTCTGCAACATGACGCAGCTATATACATGTAGGTACACGTAGGAGTATTATTACACCCTTAATTGGGATTGTTACACCCTGTTGATCTCACTTGTGTAATACTTAAACTTATTACTTTTCAAATAAGTGATATAAAATGTTCAAATACGTGTACTTTTTCACCAGCACAGCCATGTAAAAATCCATTATTATGTACATGTAACAGGAACATCTATTGGCCCTGGGCTTATACAGCTTGTACATTATTTACATGTAACTGTAACAGACAGCACTTCCATTCCAAGATGTACAATATATAAAGTCACATGACTGTACAAAAGTAACTAACAGTTCTCAGACAAAATCTACAGTATACATGTATTCACCTTGGAGGTCCAGCAGTTCTCTCTCGTGTTGGCTGTCTTGTCAGATCCCTGTATTGATTACTTGTTCCAACTGACCAAGTGCTGAAAGAATTATTACCACAGAATTTTACCCCTGAGATGACCATAAGTGTATAATTCTTGAATAAGTCTTAAGTAGTCATTATTTTGAGATCATCATAGTTCTTAAACAGCTTACAAAAACATAATAAAAGAAAGACTTAACAGAGTAAACAAAATTACAAGATGTTTACATGGTGGCCCTTAAGTAAACAAACGAATATTGTAAATACAGTGGAATCCCAATTTTTCAAACTTCCAAAGGAAAAGAAAATTGGTTCAAAACATCAAAGAGTTTGAGAAATTGGGGGTAAAATTACAGTGCTCGACTGAGGAGAGGGAATGCCTTTTGGTTTGAGTTACATGTATCGGGAGGTTCAAAAAAGTAAGGGTTCGAGAAATCGGGATTCCTCTGTATACCAAAAATTGTCAAAAATCCCAACTGGTAGGAGGTGGACCAGTGGGCTATATAAATTCAGGACTGGTACCAAACTCAAATCCATTCAGTGGCAGAGAGAGGGATTTGAATCTAGGACCTCTGGATTACAAGTCCTGCACCCAAACCACTTAAGACCATCCTCACCTCCTGCATGTGATTAATGCACATTGAGACAGTCATTTGCTAAGCCTTACCCAAACCTGCCAAGAGCACCAGTATTACGGCTGTTGTATTCTGAGAATTCTAAGTCAGAGGCACTTGAAAAATCCGGCAAAAAATCTTCATCAGCAGGCTGTCTCTTGGTATGCATTATCTCACCATTCATTCCGACAAGGATGTCAAACAATGGTTGTTCACTCTTGGGGATGAAACTCCTAATAATACCAAAGATGAAAAAAATAATTGAAACACAGCATTAAAGGGTAAAGGTAAAGTCTGCATACGAGTCAAGTGGCCCATCAGGCTGGAGCTTATGTGGTTAGAACACATTAAGTAATTATTCTACTTGTTGCTGTACAGTATGTGCATCCTTTCAGTACTTTATTTGTCTCTTTTCCTTCATTCAGTTGAAAATGGTGTAACGATTCAGAAGTTTGGTACTTTTCATGTTACATGTAAATCATTCTGACGTATAGATTAATACAGTCAGGGTTTTCAATAAATTTTGAAATAGCCGTCTGAGCTAACTAAAGTAGGCGGCAAACTGATGAATTTTTTTAATAATCTGAGTGAAAATGCTGACAAAGTAGGCGGCAGTAAGAGGTAAATTCTGACAAAGTAGGCGGCGATTTTCGCTGTTTGCTGGCTTCTAATGAAACCCCTGTACAGTCATGTGTACATATGCATGCTGTAGAAAGACATGAATCTCTAAGGCCACATTTCATAAATTGAAACAAATGTTGAATTTCTATCTTGAACTTAAGGTGGCTGAACACAATTTCAGCACGCACTCTTGCTAATGCCATTCAGTGCGCACACAAGGATTACACAAAGCAACCATGGCATCGATACAGCTATCATTTTATTTGGTCAATGCCCTCGCTATCTGTGTTTTTTTTCTTCATAATTAAACACAGTGTATTTATGGCTTTACTCTTTTATCAAAAGTGTATGTCAGAAAAGGTGACGATGCAAAGAACCCAGCCATTCTCAGATTTTTCTTTTTTACCAAAAGATCCCAATTAAATGCAGCGCATGCATAGTAAGGCAAAAAATTGCGATTGAATGCTGAATAGCTTTCTTGGAAATACACCTATTTCTCGAGAACCACTCTTTAGAATTTTACGAAATTTGGCACGAAAATACTTTAGAAAACAAGTAACTGGAATATGAAAAAAAATTGAAAATTGACAGAGGAAATTCTAGATATTTCAGTTAAACTTCTACAAGTGATAATTTAACATCCCTCTGTTAAACTATTATTAAAATAGTGCTAACTTGTGAGCATTGTTACAATCTTGTTGCATCCAAATGAAAAAGAAAATCTAAAGACTAGATTTTCTCCAAACAAACAAAACCGATTTTAAAGGCCTGTTTATATTTATTCATGTTGCCATGGCAACGACACATACATCAGCCTAGTCATCAAAAATCTGAAGTTTGTGTTGCTAACTTTCGTGTAGCCATTTTTGGCAACCAAAGGATCAAAGGTTTTAGAGAAAAAGGAGACTGAAACATAGGTATCAAAACTGTATTCGGCCACCTTAAAGTGGTCTTAAACTGAACTACAGAATGAACAGTCTATTTAAAAAAAAAAAAATTAATCAAAGACATGAAAATGAATTGTGATATGCTAATTTTAATACTAATGGTATATACCTTATGTCTCCCAACAGTTTTCTCTCTACAGGGGTCCGAAGGATTCCTTTCAGGCTCTGTGCCAGTTGCTCAATGGACCTGTCTCGTGCATACTGATTAAGGGCCTTGATGAGCTGCTTTTTGACCGTTTCATTACCAGCTAGATAATAATTCATCTTTAAAGGAAATAAATTAATCAAAAAGATCAGTCAATAATAATGATCACGGATTTGTTAAAACAGCTTTGATTTGTCTTTTTTTTTAAGTTAAATGATAATGGTACAAACACGTAATGTTTTCAGTCGACTCAGTTGTAATGCTTTTATTTTCTTTCACTTCGAACAATGACTTGCAGTACTCCTAACCAATGCCGATTGCCTTCACACAAATTAATTCACAAAATAAATTGTCACCTATCAACCAGAATCATGTGCCTGTGTAATCCAAACAGATATTGCACTTCTTCATTTTGTACCTATAAATCCGAAGATGAATGCTTTGTCTTTCTAATTGTTAAAGTATTGAACAGATATTACTTCTGGGGCATGGGGCACTCTGACGGTTTGAATCAAACATTTTAATATGATACTGATATTGTGTGACTGGATGTTTATAGTCTCAGATCGTTGTGATAACCCAGTCTAACTTTGCTAAAAGCATAAACTGACAACCCTTAACTTACGGTGTTCTTTTCAAACAAAAAACTTTAACTTGTTAATTACTTCCCTGAACGCTCCAAAAACGTTAACGTATGGACTATCCCATTTGTTAATGGTCAGTTTTAAGATAATCGCAGAACGCGACCACAAGTGCACACAGAAATATAATTAATTGTTGTGTACAAATCTAAAAAAATTGAAAATTACCGAATAATTAAATCTGACTAATGTGTACCAATTTACATTTAAACCCTACCAAAAACTGCCTTGATGAAACATAAATGCCAATTATTTGGACCTCTTAAAAGCATTCAGTTGTAAGGCAGTAACTTCATATTCGCTCAGACGAAAATTACAGAATATAAGCTTGCATGAATTGTAAGCTTACTACTTTGTTAAAGTAAACTCATTTCACGAACGAAATGTCAACTGTTGTGTATGATATCCACACAAAAGACAAGAACTTTGATCAATAATAAACAACAATCTACCAAAAGAATATCACATTGAAACTAACCTGCACGAAGAAATCTCTGGCTCTTCTGTACCTCGAAGAAGAACTTTTTCCACCTCGTTTGTCAGTTATCCCGATGTCGGCCGCTCCGGCGATTAGCACTAGAGAAATCGTTGGTCCGCAAGTATCGATCATTTGTCCGACTTGATCTTCATTCATTTGTCTCAAGTTGACACCATTTATCCGAAGAATAAGATCGCCGCGCCGAATGCCGACATTTTGAGCGGGACTTCCTTGCTCTACATCTGCAATGAACACGGGTCCTTTACCGCGAACCGAAAATCCAAAGCGACCTCTTCGACGACGCAGATCGAACGTTCTAATGCGAGAAATTACCGCAAGTGCTGGTGGAACTGTTCGCGATCGTTTTGCTAATAAGATTATTTCTTCTCTGCTTAAACCTTGTACGTTTTCCCCATTGACTTCGAGTATTTGATCGCCAGGCTGAAGACCTGCCCGTTGTGCTACGGAATTCTCGTCCACAGACAAAATAACCACAGGTACCTTTCCACCGACGGTGAAACCGAAAGCTTCGGGCCAATTCTCGTTTGTTCTCATGTTGATGAAACAACTCTAAGCGTAAAGTTAAAACTAAATACTCCTCTTTTGTATACACGAGTCTTTTTACAACCACAAAGTCGGCAATTAATATCACAAAATTGATCTCCTAAATCATCCCGTTAACAACCAGGTGACCATTCGTAAACTTTCCACAAAACTCGTCCTTCAAAGTCTTTGTGAACAGTTAACGTTCCAATGACGAATTTTGGGGCTTGGAATCCTTGTTGTTGAAATCCAATGTAAGTTGATGACATCTAAAGCGAGTCCAATTCGGGACACGTTTATCGAGGACTATTTTGAGGATTGACAAGCAACGTCGACGACGCCAAAATTTGAAACCAGGCAACCAGAACGTCGCACGAAGCTGATCGAGTTAGCAACGAAATCCCAGACAAAAACCGCTAGAAAACGGTCTCGACGACAATGTTTCGTTCGTTGAATACTTTAACTTCCATTTTCCACTGAAGAATTCATCCCCAAAGGCCAAGTTATAAAACAAACTGACGTTGTTGTTTAGTTTTCGCGCAGCGCGAGATCACCTAAAACAATTCACCTTCGCTGTGATGTCCACTCAGCAGTGAGGCTGTAATTATTCATGCACACAGCACTTCTAGCAAGATTTGCATATCTTTAAAATTCGGGCATCGACGCCGCCATCCTTGACATCCTAAGCGAAAAAATGCTAACAAAACAGTGAGTTACTAAACGTAATCGGATCTTTGTAAGTACCAGGGGAACCTTGGGTATTTTTCTCAAGGATCGCTTTGGCGCTGGCTTGGAGAATATGGAAAACAGCTCTGATGAAAGTAAACATTCTTTGATTGCTACCCTTGACCTTACGTCATATCTGTGAGACAAAAGCGCTGTAACGCAAACAGTTTTTTTCACGAATACCCTCGATTAATTAAAGAACTCTCGCGGGGGTAAAGCATTTCCTTACCTCGTTCCCAGATCTCCGATACTGCGCTTTATAAACTCCATGGGTCATGTTCAATATGCACAACTTCAAAAGGTGTCTTCGTCAAAATATTTATCCAAGAACTTTGTTGTTTAATGTATTCGATACGTTTGTTTAACCGATGATCTTGCACGGCTGAGTTCAACTGCACCAGCAGAAGAATTAAAAACATTTAAAGAATGATAATTAATTTAACAACACCCGATTGATACTATTACTATACCGTATACATGAGTTTAGCACAGACGTTCAATTTTGCCCTTCCACGAGTAGTCTTTTTAGTGACATTGAATCAAAGTTTCAGACTTTTGTTTAACTTATTAACAAACTCTTTGTTCCTCTCAGTTCAAGGACAGCAGGCGTTTAATTGTTTTGATGATTTTAATACTGTTTTTATCAATTAATTCTTTCCTCTCCTGATTTCGGCTAGCTGTTTAAAAATGCAAGTTCTGTTACACATCGTGTTCTCTGACAACAATATATCTTGAATCAAAGCGTTGAAATGTTGAACAGTAGACACGAAATAAACAAAGAGCCTTAAAATTACAATCGCTCATTTGGTTATACATATTGGCATTTCCACTTTATTTCGTTTGTGTCGCTACCGGAGATAATTATGAAACTGTAACAAGTCATAATAAATTCATTGCATCTTTCAGGGGGCAAATAAAGTGACGTCACAAATTGCTTAAACATAAAGGAGTTTCTCTTACTGTGTCATATCAATTTTGTTAACGCTCCTTCAGTCGATAGTCGACGACTAAAATCCTTGAACTTCCCGCTGTTTCAGTCAAATCATTAAAATTATCTAACTCAATGTAGCTTGTCGACTCCGTCCTCGACTTGGTGATTTGACAGGTACATAGGGAATCAGTTTACACACTAGCCAATGCGCAATGCACGCAATGACACTCATTCTCAGACAAGAAGGAAATCAGAAACGCTATCAACTTATTTAAAAAAATGCCTGTACGTGACATTCGTCAAACTGATTTTATAATCCCTGCAAAACATAACAGGCGTAGGTCAACCTAGCCTTGCCTCAAGTCGACCTTTGCTTAATCTTTTGCTTACATTTTTTTTTTTTTTTCTCAGTCGGTAATCTTCCTTTAATCTTGGATCAGCAAACAATTTTTTTTTTCTGACGTACGCCAGTAAAATTAAAAGATCTTGTCAGTTTTGCTGTACCAAATGAACTGATGAAAGCTTGCTAACGAATTGTTTGTCACGGGTTCATTAAGACAGAAGTGTTCTATCCTAACAAAAAAATCAAAATGTACCGCGTCCTTATAAAGCGGCTACAGAAACGAAAGTCCATAAATACAGATGACTTTTCAACAGCAATTTTTTTTTTTTTTTTTTTTTTGGCCTTCTAATTTTTTCCAAATATCCAACATGGTATAGTAGTATAATTATTACATAATTCAGAAGCAGTTATTTTATCATCACTTCCTTTCGTCACGTACTATTCATAATGATCGTGTTAACTTGCATACCTACGGCCTGTTTCGGACAACTTTCCTGACAAAGTGTTCATCAGAGCAATTGACTCGTCAGTGGGTGGTCTGTCACAGTCCATGGAAAGACGGATCAACCTACTGCTCACTTGTGTGACGCAATGAGCTGGGCGCCACAAGGAAAAGGAGAAGGAGAAGGTCTAAGACAACATGGAGACGAACAGTAGAAAAGGAACGGAAAGAGGCAGGGTGGAGTTCATCAAGTGGAAAGAAACGGGAACGGTCGCAGCAGACCGAGAAAAGAAGAGGACCTCTGTAAAGGCCCTATGCGCCACGAGGCACGAGGAGGATAGGTAACCGGTAACAGGTCAGTTGTATGGCATTTGAAGGCGTCTGAAATTCG